TCTATTCTATTCTATTCTATTCTATTCTATTCTATTCTATTCTATTCCTGTCCTGTCCTATCCTATCCTATTCCTGTTCTGTCCTATTCCTGTTCTGTTCGTAATATATATGTTTGGTTGTTTGGCTTGATACTTTTCAGTAAAACACTGAGACAATTCAGTTTCAGAGGTTGACGTTCTGAATGCAACAAGTTTTGTTTTTCATTTGGCTACATATTTGAATCTGGTGAACAAACCCTGAACTGCCATATACAAAATGGCTGTACAACAGATCAAGTACATCTCAGAAAATATCCAATCTGAAGTCTTGGAAAACCATTGACATTGAGTACAAATGAGGATCCATGGATCCATGGATTATGCCCATCAAGAGCTACAGATGTTGCAAGTGATATAGAAACAAGATGTTGGTGCCATTTCTGAACAAGAGGAGAAACTTCCAGGGGTTTGAAAGTGAATCTGCCTTATATAGTTCAATAAATTAAAACCAAGACTATTCCAGAGAAAATGGTGGCTTTTTATTTAAGTAACTATGAGTGATTTATAGCATTTGCTTATAATGAGAACTTTATCTGGGCAGAATTGCCACAATACCTGAAGCATACTTATCATGAACCAAAAAAAGAACCTGATTATTGTGAGCTATTATTTCATTCCATTGAAATTGTTTTTATTGCTGATTTACATCTTGTTTGTTCAGTAAATATGAACAAAGACAAAAGGAGTATATTGCCAAACACAGAGGATCCATAATCTTTTCATTTCATTAGAAATAAAGAAAAGAAACAAGGAAATAGAATGTAAATAGAACACAGTGAAGTATGAAGTGATCAGGTTAATGCAAACAGTGTTTCCACATTTAAAATTGACACACGCCACTGATTAAAACTAGCAATTCATTTCCAAACCTATTTACTTGGAATCCAGCCCAATTAATTTCAATGCTGCTTTCCTCAGAGCATATAAAACCATAATCTAACATCCTCACCTAAAAAAAAATTAAATTAAAGTTGCACTACACAAAATAATGCTTCTCAATACATCAAGATGGATAAAGAAGTTTCAACTTTATGGCATCTGAATTTGAACAATATATTTCAAAATGGGAGGTGCAGCAGCTTCTCATACTGACTAGAGCAGGAAATAAGCATGTTTTAACCCAAATTAAGCAATTCTAATTCTGACTGATTCTATCTTTATGGGGCAGTACAGTCCTCGACTTACGACCACAATTGATTCCAAAATTTAAGTTGCCAAGTGAGACATATGTTATGTGAGTTTTGCCCCATTTTACGTTTTTTCTTGCCACATTTGTTAAATGAATCTGGTCTCTCCATTGACTTTGCTTGTCAGAAGGCTGCAAAAGTTGATCACATGACCCCAGGACACTGCAATTGTCATAAATGTGAGAATTGTCAAGCATCCAAATATAAATCATGTGACCATGGGGCAAAGGTGGTATTCAGCAGGTTCTCACCAGTTCTGGAGAACTGGTAGGGGAAATTTTGAGTAGTTTGCAGAACCGGCAAATATCACCTCTGACTGGCCCCACCCCCATCTACTCTCTGCCTCCCGAGTCCCAGCTGATTGGCTGGGTCTTCTTTTGTTGCCCTGCACAGGAGAACAGAGCTGGAAAGCAGGTTAGTGGGGTGGGGAGGGAATGGGGATTTTGCAGTATCCTTCCCCTGGAGTGAGGAGGGAATGGAGATAAGTATTCTTCCCCTGACATGCCCACCAAACCACACCCACAGAAATTATAGTAAAAAAATTTGAATCCCACCATTGCCATGGGGACATTGCAACAGTCACAAGTGTGAAAATTTTATCATAAGTAACTTTTTTCAGTGTCACTGTAATTTCAAACAGTCACTAAATGAATTGTTGTAAGTCAATTACTTGTACTGATTCACAAATGACTTCAGTCTCTGGCTATCCTGAGCGATATTGACTAAAAATCCAAAATGAATAACAACTTTTAACTTACTTTTATAATGCAAGTTCAGAAAAAGCACAAAGTGTCTATTATTCAGACATGCTGAATTCATTGGAAATTGAATGGAAATTCCTCCTGTAGCAATCAAGCCTCAGCCATTCTATCACGTGAAAATGAGATTCCTTATGGAGCCTGTGGGCCAGATTAAGAGGGTGACACTATTTTATTAATGCCCTAAGATAGTTAATGAAGAATTCATTAGAGGACTATAACCTTGAGGCCTTTTTCACTAAAGAAGATGGGGGTCTTCCGATCAATTATATTTTGCTAATTAGTATTGTATCTGAAAAGTGGCTATGTTTATGGGCCTAACGTAGTAAATCCCGCAGGCCAGCAATTTGCAAATTGAGAATAAACAGAGTTTTCTTCTTTATTATTCATTCAGTGTTTTTGTTTCAAAAACATCAGCCTCTGCAACATGCCAAAATAATTCCAAAATTATAGACAGCCACTATGATTTCATAATGTGAGCAGCATGGTTGTTTCTTTTTTGTCTGATGAAAATCATAAGCCACAACATTTGTATTACACATTTTTTTTGTCATTTGCTCCCCAGCTCAAATTTACTCACTGTGGAAAACAGTGTTGTGACCTTCATAAACATGCTTACTGAAATACCTCATAACAAAATTGTTGGAAGAAATTTAAAAGCAAATTATTAGATGGAATCTCTGAGAAAGATTCAAGTATTTCCAAGCAGGTTATAACTGATCAGTGATAAATCAAATGTCTGGAAGCCTTGGTTAGTAAGGAGTTGATCAAGCTAGTTTTCCTAAATTCTGTAAAAAAAAAAAAAAAAGAATAATTGAGCCAAAGATCCAACATAAAGCACCCAAAAGAAAAAAAACAACACCTATAAATTCTGAGAATAAGCATAGTTTCCTATAGCACATGACAATATAATAAGATTTATAACAGAAGCCAAATATACACCCATTGACTAAGACATTCTTTCCAACTTGGGTGCTTTCCAGATACATTGATGCTGAACTTGTAGAATTCCCACCCATTATGGCCTTTTGTGTTGCTGAAGGTAGAAGGGACTACAAAGATCATCTGCAGCAACTTTCTGCAATGTGCGTGGAAATCAATAAACTATCCTTGAGGGATGGTTAACAGAATAAGAGAATTGGAAGGGAGTTAGTTGTGCCATCTATTCTTAAAAACCTCAGAAATTGAGAACCCACATCCTCTACAAATGGCGTATCTTTGGGCATGGGCTCACAGTGAAAACCTGGACTATGAAATAATACACATTGAGATCAAACTAAATTTTGTGGACAGTCTTCAAGGATCCAATGGATTAGATGTTCTCAGATCATATGTTATTGTTGACAACAATGATGATCGCAGAGCATGAAGCTGAGAACTTCATTTTTAAAAGGCTCAGACCCAGAGAATGAATTTATGAGCAGCCTGAGAAGAGATGAGGTAGCTACTATCATAGAAATGAGCACCTCCTTACTCTTTGGATGCTTCTGGATTATTTAACATGTACACCTTTTAATCTTGTATTTTATATTTTAAATTTTATGTCATACTAGCTCGATACTCATGCTTCGCTTCAAAACTATGTGGCCAGGCTTAGTTTTTGGGGAGGAAAATAAGGGGAAAAAATTCTGCCTCTGCCTACCCACCTCCATCGGTATTCTTCTGGAAACTGAAACAATATTTGCTGCATGAGCAAGAAAGAGACAGCAAGGAGCCGGGGTGTGGCTTAGCTTAGCTGTTCTGTACTAAAGCTGCTTGGTGCTGTGAAACTGAAACTGAAACTGAAACTCCTCTCCTCTGCTTGTGTTTTTCATTTGTAACAGATTTCTTTTTAGGTGGGGTGGGGAAGTACAATTCCTTAGCATCAGACCGTGCTAATAATAATATATAAAATACTAATGCTCTGATGGTCATTTCGAAAAATCCTTTTTCAGTGAGCTCCTAGAAGCCAAGAGGAACATATGTGCCAAATTTCAAGTTTGTAGGCTTTACAGTTCTGGAGATTTTGTGATGATGCATGAGTGGTATATAGATAGATAGATAGATATTATGTCTTATTTTAATTGTGATGCTTCTGACACGAATAAACAAATCATTATGGAGTTCCTTTTTTCAGCTGTATCTCCTGGAAGAATTGGGAACCCTTTCCCTCTGTCTCAAAAGCCAGGGCCAGAAATAATAAGAATATATTGTAGCAATCTAAATGTTGCTTATATGTAAGGAAATGTATATAAATATTAATTCATGCACATCAGTCTTATCTCCAGGTAAACTTATATGCATCAGTCTGATCTCCAGTCTAAGCTTCTCTGCCAATGCCAGATCTAATAGAGAGATCCTGGTCAAACTATTGCACATGGTTAGCAGTGATCTATGTATCAGACAGTGTTAGTCCCCTCTGGATGTCTCATTGTGAGAAAGACTGGTGCGATACAAGGGCAAGGTAGGAAATTAAAAAGACAGCAAGATTCTGCTCTTGCCTGAAGTGCCATCAGTGCCTCAGTTGGGCAGCTGTCCAAAGATGCCAGGAGTTGATGCCTACCTTGCTGCCAAGAATGACTATAAACTCTGTGACTCCTTCAGGCGCAATCTACTTGGAATGGGTCCCAAGCTAGCTCCAATGATGCTCTCACACAACTTTCACATCAATTTCCCTGTAGTTCAAAGAAACCTGGATTTCACCAAGCTGAAAATACAGTGACACCATATGAAGAGTTAGTTATGTTTAAACTTCACAGAAGGAACAGGATCTCAGAAATAAATTAAATAATAAATAAAATAAATAAGACCGTAAATAAAATAAATAAGACCGTAGACGCCATTTTACTTACCACTTCCCTTTAAAGAATTTCCATGCAATTTGCTCTTGCAAAGGCTTCCATGTGAGCAGTAAAATATTTTACATATTGAGCTAATTGCTGGTTATTTCATTTCTAATAAACAGATGTGGAAAAGCATTTTCACACCTTGCTGCAATTAACAGTATGCGGTAACTATAATGTTCTTACCAGAAACCATAGTAACTTTAATTCAAATCCACAGTAATACTATATTAAAATTATTAGATAACCTGATGTCTATGAGGAACTTTCTGGTGCCTACCAGACTGCCTGCTCCTACCTGACTTTTTAGAAGCATTACTTCATATGTTTTTTAAGAAAGTAAATCAAAAACTGGCATACTGCTAAATGAAGCATGAGCCTCTAGCATCATCTATAGAATATTGTAAGTTTCTGTAACCCCAAAAGAAAAAAATGTGGGTGGTTTCAGCTGAGGGCTTTGTTTGAAAATGTGCCTATTTGCTTAGAGAAAATGCAAAGTATCAGGTGAGTATCCAAGAATATCCTTATGAGATATGAAGAGAACAAGCAAAAAGGAACAAGCTTACCTACTTACTTTCTGGGTTCCATAATGGGATGCACCCACATAAGTCCATAGCAGATTCACAAAAAAAGGCTCCAAGTGTTGCCTATATCCAGATGTATTCTGGGTCACAAAAGCCCAACAAAACATGTCCAGATTCAAGAAAAGTAGGGAAGAAGTTAGCCTATTATATAGCACATGCAGAGAAGCTGTGTTAATTGAGTGATGGCAGAGGTGGTATTTAGCAGGTTCTGACCAATTCTGGAGAATCAGTAGTGGAAATTTTAAGTAGTTCAGAGAACTGGCCAATACCACCTCTGACTGGCCCTACCCCCATCTATTCTCTGCCTCCCAAGTCCCAGCTGATCAGCTGGGTCTTCTTTTGTTGGCCTGCACAGGAGAACGGAGCTGGAAAGCAGGTTAGTGGAGTGGGGAGGGAATGGGATTTTGTGGTATCCTTCCCCTGCCATGCCCACCAAGCCACTCGCACCAAGCCACGTTCACGTAGTAAAAATTTTTGAATCCCACCACTGAGTCATGGCCATTAATCAGGCAAAGCAACTTTTCAGATCTGCTCAGACCTATGAAATATGGCCAGTGTGAATAAATTCACCAACTATTGCTTTTTATCTGCTCTAGCAAAAAAAATATTCGGGGCTAAAGCAGAGAAGGTTTAAGAACCCGAAGGAAAACATCACAAATTGAGGATTGAGTTCCCTGCATCTTTCAGATCACGTTATGGCTTAAGGTGATTTTAGTGACAATGTAATGATTCCTCTCCCCACCACAAGCCCAACGCCGAGCGAGTATCCCGTGAAAGCATGTAAATCTGACTCTAGGAAGGGGATGAGGACAATGAACCTTTAAGGGAGAAGAAGAGATTATCGAGTCCCATGAAAGTAGAAAACACGAGAAAGATGTTTTCAAAATAACTCCTATTCCCCTCCCTGGTTTTGTCTGGTAGAAAATGAGACACGGAGAATAACTGGCAACTGTTCAAGAATCTATTATTTAGGATTGAAATTCACATTGTGTTGTAATTTAGAAGAGAATGATCAGAAAATGAGAGAAAATAGAAAATGGAGAAAAAAGAGAAAATAGAAAACATGTATAAAGATACGTTTAATCAATGCTGGAAATCTGAAGACCATGAAGGAACATTTTAGTGTGGTCTTGTGAGAAAGCCCCCCCAAAAAACCCCAAAACCCTGAACACACGATAGAGAAAAACTGTTTCAGAGGGCAGATCTAGGAGCAGAGCAGACATACTCCTGAATCTAAAACAATGGGGATATTTGGTTGGCATACCAAATAGCAGTAAATCTTCCCACCTCCTCACTTTCCACCATTCCTAATTTTTTTTAAAAAAAATCCAAAATGTACTTGCATAGAATTCATGAACCTTAACATGCAGCATAGCTTTGGGGATATGCAATAAATGCTCTTTTAAGGTGACATTAATGTGCCAAAAATTCCTGGAACGTGTCAGGTTTCAGATATCATCTTATGCAGCTCTGATCCATCTGACCTTTGTCCACAATAATTCTTCCTGTCTTTGCTGCATTCCATCTGCTTCCTCCTTGGACTGCCTTTGGAAGCCATGCTGTTAATCATGCCCTATCTAAGCTCGGAGTTCTACCCTGTTTGCATTTAGTAGAGGGGGGAAAGGCAGATTGGCTGAACGTTAAAAAGTAAGAAAATGGCCCAAAATAAAAAAATATCAGGTTGTGGACAGACCTGTTTCAGAGTTCAAGAATTTGAGGTTGTTTTTTGGGGGGTGGGGTGGGGTTGTATTGTTAAAACAGTGAAATACAAATGAAAAAAAGACTGTAAGAAGTTAAGTGGTACAAGAGGATTGTTTTTAACATCGAAATCAAATTTTATTCTAGACCCAAAAGATTCCCCACCACCGTCTATAAAGTTTTATGAACCCTATTACATGATTACTTGTTTTGTTGGTTGGTTTTTCCATGTTTTATTACCTCTCTCTGGATGTTGCAAAATTGGTGAGTTATTTCTAACCTAATCTTTTTTTTTAATAATTTGATATTATTCAATTCATAAATGTCTTAAAAGAAGCTGATCAGTAGGATCATAGATCTTGGAGGTCTTGTAATCCAACCCTCTGGCCAAGGTATGAGAACTTACACCATCCTGGACAAATGGCTATCCAATCTTTTCTTTAGAACTTGATAATGCAATGGAGCACCCATAACTCTCCTAGGCAAGCGGTTCCACTGATTAACTGTTCTCACCATCAGGAGATTTCTCCTTAGTTCCAAGTTGGATCTCTCTTTAATGAGCTTCCACCCATTGCTTCTTGTCCTATTCTCAAGTGCTTTGGAGAATAAGTCGACTCCCTCTTATCTGTGACAGCCCCTCAAGGCAGCTATCATCTCTTCCTTCTCTTTGTTAAGCTAGACATACCTAGTTCCCTTAACTGGTCATCGCATGGTTTATCCCACAGATCCCTTATCGTCTTCTCTGCACTCTTTCTAGGGCTTCAGAATCTTTTTTTCTATCAAGGCAACGAGAACTGGACACAGTATTCCAAGTGTGGCCTTACGAGTACAATATGGTACTATTACTTCTTATGATCTTGATGCTATTCCTATGGTGATGCAGCCCAGAACTGCATTAGCAGCTATAAAACTATTTTAGCAGCTAATAGTTATGAATCATTCAATTAAAAGCAATTCCTGTGTTTTCAGATCTGATTTCTTTAAAAAAAAACTTGATGTATTGTCAAGTCTAATACTGTTCTGCACATCTGCAACAAAGGAATAATTAAGAGAATAGAGAATGTTGATATTCTGCATACAAAAACCATGGCCTACCATGATTTGGGGAAATATCCTCAGATTGTGCCTCTATCCAGCTCATGGCCAGGCAATGAGTACGGTCAGATCAAAGTTGAAACAACAGGCAGACTTAAGCTGCCTGCTTCTGTCACTTTTTCTATCCTGGGGTAATATGTAGCTGTTTGGTCAGCTGGCTATTGTGTTAGCCATGTCAGGGGACTTTGGACACCCGGGAGGCTCTTTATCTTGTGTGCTGTTTGATTGACCTGTGAACTGCAATAGCCTTCAAGCTTTGTTGTTTACAAGAAGCTTGAAAAAAGAAGGAAGACTTAAAAGTTCCTAGACCTGACCCTTGCTGGCAAGCTAAAAGGGGCCATGTGTCTAAGAAGTCATAAAAGTCTCTCCTAATAGTAGTGACACAAAGGAAGCCAAACTTTTTTGGCTTAAAGAAGGGACATTTCTGACTGCAGCTCAGCCCTCTGAAGCATAAGGGTTAACATAAAGTACAGCATTCAACAGTGCAAGTGGTATGGAATCTGAAGATATGATATCCTGATAGTGTCTGGGCTACTTTATTTATTTATTTATTTATTTTATTTGGTCAAGCTCCTTATTTATTTATTTATTTATTTATTTATTTTGTCAAGCGACTATAAGATAACAGGTATAAGTATAAACATAGTTATGAATACATGAAATGGATACATATAAGAAAAATAAAGAGAAACAATAGGACAGGGATGATAGGCACGTTGGTGCTCAAATGCACACCCCCTACAGACCTCTTAGGAAAGGGGTGAGGTCAATAGTAGACAGTCTAAGGTTAAAGTTTTGGGGTTTGGGGGAAGAAACCACAGAGCCAGGTAGAGTATTCCAGACATTGACCACTCTGTTGCTGAAGTCGTATTTCCTGCAATCAAGTTTGGTGCGGTTTACCATACTGTCTGCTCATCCCATTCAGTCGGCCAAATAATGATTAAAGAAGTGAATTACTCTGAACAGCAAGATTTCTGATGGTACTAAGGGGCTTAAGTTGATGCATTATTATTTTATTTTATTTTATTTTATTATTTTATTTATTTTATTTTATTTTATTTTGATCAGCATGTCAAAAATGCCTAGTTTCTAAGCATTCCAAAATGTACAAACAATTAATGCAAATTTATCCATAAACTGTGAGTTTGCAATTTGCACAATCTTCTTTTAAAGTTTCCTTTGTGTTCAGGGAACATTTTCTTAATGACAGAAGCTAGAGTCAACTGAAATATTCTCTGAGTGGTTTCTGGGTATTGCCAGGGGTGGGCTGCTGGGGTTTCAGAAAGGTTCGGGAGAGCCCCTAGTTAAGATTCTGTGCAGTCTGGAGAACCCCCAAATCCCACTCCTGGCTGGCTCCACCCACCCGCCCCACCCCTCCCAGGAGTCCCTACACAGCTCGTTTTGGATGCAGGAAAGTGCAGGGTGTGCACGCAGGCTTGGAGAGGGTGAAAAACAGGCCTCCCAAA